TGGGGGGGGGGGGGGGGGGGGGGGGGGGTCAGTAGACAGTCCTCAACCTCCCACATATATTTCAGAACTACTTCGGATGTGTGATGTAAAGACCGAAGTCCATGCTATAAGCAAATATCTCGATTTCAGAGTCAGGCCAGGAATATTTTATTGGGTGTGTTATTATTGTATTCGAACTTACGTCTTTGCATGCAGTGTGTTATAGGAGGGTCAGAGCGGCTCAAGGGGGTTGAGGGGGAGGGTATTGGTTGGCAGCAGTGATAGTTAAAAAATGTTACAACAATTTCATGTACAAAGCAAGGGAATGAATGATCTCTTCTTCGTTGTGTTACAATTCTGAAGCTGTTTGCGCGGTAGCTTCCTTCTTGTTGAACGGACCTACAATTTCAGCTGTCACGTTCTCTGGACCTACAAGCTACATCCATCGTGCATTGTCTGTGTACCTGCTCAAGTATTTTAATATGATCTTCTTTAATAAAGTACGTACAAGATAGAAAGCACTTCTTTGCTAAAGGAGCAGCAGCAGCTACCAGATTAATTTTTAAGGCCGCATTTAATTTGCATAAACCATTAACTGAAGTTCTTTAGCTTCGTCATTGTCTAGTATTAGGTCTTTCACATAATAAAAAGAATTGAACAAAAAAGGTCGAAGAATACCTTTACATGGCTACCAACTTCGTGACGATAATCATCTAAGACCTCTTGCTGCTGGTACATAAATTACGACGATAGGCATATACTTTGTGTCGGTTATTTCAAAAAATGTGTATGTAACCACAGAAGAAGGTAACAATTAATTAGCTGTGTTTTCTTTCTAACCCCACCCATATAATGGTGACAGGGAATGGGTCATTTCTTTATGTTTTCACGTAGGTTAGAATGTGTTTTATGATATTTAGAACTCGTTAATACAGTATTGTTGTACTCAGGCAGTTGAATGGAAGCTACATATTTTACTTAGCTTTGGTAATAACGTAGGAACAAGTATTATTTCATTATCTTTATAAACAGGTGGAAAGGCTTCAAGTGCATTATGAACGGTTCCTTGTAATGTTTTATGTTGGTGAGTGTGGATTGGAAACATGCCTGGTACAGTTACACAAACATAACATGCAACAAAGACGCACGAAAAATTCGGTCAATATTTTAACTATTCATAAGATAGTGTAATTGCGTCATATTGTGAATAGTCTAACAATTATTTATTTTCATCCGTCTTATCACAATATTTAAAATTTCTTATAATTAAGATAATAAAATATTATTGATGTTCCATATCGATTGATCGATTTACACTTTGGAACATCCTTTACACAACATGTTTCAGTTTTTATAAAACCATCTTCAGGTGTATAAGATTTTCGAACTTAAAACTCAAATATTATTCCATTTGGTGATGTTATTAATAAAATATTATTGATGTTCCATATCGATTGATCGATTTACACTTTGGAACATCCTTTACACAACATGTTTCAGTTTTTATAAAACCATCTTCAGGTGTATAAGATTTTCGAACTTAAAACTCAAATATTATTCCATTTGGTGATGTTGACCCACACCTATACGATGACAGTCGTACTTCTGGACATATCGGAACATACAATCAATCCTACATCTAAGGTATGTTTTATTTGTTTTTATTTATATCTTACTGATACTTTTATCTATAATGTATATATTTTGCATTTTACTCTCTAAATTCTTTTATAAATTCTTTCAAATTCTTTAGTGTTTCTTTCAATCTTCTACTTACAGACCGATATGTACATCTGATTAAATTTAAGAAAAGACAACACCTCGCCCAAATTCGAAAAACAAATGGCATAAAACATCACCAAATGGAATAATATTTGAGTTTTAAGTTCGAAAATCTTATACACCTGAAGATGGTTTTATAAAAACTGAAACATGTTGTGTAAAGGATGTTCCAAAGTGTAAATCGATCAATCGATATGGAACATCAATAATATTTTATTATCTTAATTATAAGAAATTTTAAATATTGTGATAAGACGGATGAAAATAAATAATTGTTAGACTATTCACAATATGACGCAATTACACTATCTTATGAAAGGCATTCTTAACACAAAAATTAATTATGCTTCTCGTAAATATACAGAGAACTGTAATTAGTGTGCTCAATTACATGTTTGAATTTGTAACATGTATGTATGATAATTCTGTTGGTTGGAATGTGTGCCATCTGTAAGTGAGGAATCAAATGATGTGAAAATACATTTTCTGTATCATCATGAACCTTCTGTATCTTATATTGAACTATGCCACATATTCAATGGTTTCTTCAATCAGCAATTCTAGCTATAATTAGTCCAAACACTGCAACAGGATGTAATACACTTTAACCAATGAAGAGACCTAATTAACAGTAGAGAAAAATAAAACATACATCTGTAACTTCCGCTAACCAGCATGATAGAACCTTACACTTCTCATGTATGTTATCAAATGAAAATGTGTGTTGGCCCAATGTCTCGTCACCTTCGAGTGTTTACAAGATTGTACTGACAATTTTTACTAGCTTTCATACAGGAAGCTTTATTATAAGTGTAAATAAATTGCAATACAAGTGAAGTGACTCTTCACAGTAAAATGCTTCACAAAACCCAACCCCATTGTAGTCCCAACTTTTTAAGCTGATGTTTTAAATTGTAATTATATGCACAGAAATTTTTGTTTCAAAAAATTGAAAATACTACATTTTGAGAAATACAGTTTTAAAGACCTTGAAAACATAACTGTGCTGAATATATTGGTATAATAGGGCTTTGGAAAGAACATATTATTAGCTTTGAAATGAGCATAGAATGATCTTTGTACCTTGATTACAAGTTATGGACTGGAGCAGGGTGAGGAGCCTTTGGAATTGGGTGTTGTGGGACTCAGTTGGAATGGACTGTAGAGGATGCATTGCTCAGAGTAATTCCCCATGTGGGTCACCTGGATGGATGGGGCAGAGTCTCATTTGTTGGGTGTGCCCTAGTATGTGGTGGAGTCCTGAGAGAGCCAGATATGCCATATGGAAATTATCCCCAGTGCAGAACTCTCCTATTGGTTAAGTTTGGTTGTGAACTTAGTTTGCATTGGGTAAGTTTAGTTTTGGTGAGGTTAGGATAGGTTGGGGCAGATGATGACCTGTCTAATTATATTAGGTGGGTTTGTTGGGTGAGTGTGTATTAGATTGGATTTGATTAGTGTGGGTTGAATTAGATCAGGGTGGGTAAAGTTGGGTTGTGTTGTGTCAGGTTAGTTTTGGTTGAGTTTAGGTAGGTTAGATTAGATTGGCTTAGGTTAGTTCAGATTAGATTTGTAACTAAAAATTAGCAAAGAATGCGTGTGAAAACTGTATTCGAGGACAGCTTATACTTTCCAGTGTTCTTTGAGTAAGAGTGATCTATGTTGACATTTCCTGTGAGCTGTAGTTATCAACGAAGGAACCTGCTGACATTGTCACCTGTGACGTGGCATGAAGAATGTGTGTGAAATTTCAGTGTATTCTAAAGAGTACACATTTCTAGTCTTGTTTTAATTTTATCTGTTTGTTTGTGTATTGTTTGGAGTTTCTGTGCACTAGTTTCTTTCTTGTGTGAAGATGTTACTTGCTAGATACAATTCATTTTTCTTTTTCTTGTCATGCTGTTTGTATTGCTGATGTTATAGAGTGGCAGCCACTTTTCTCTCCTGAATGTGGTTCTGTTAACCATAGGTGGTTCCTGGAAGTCAGCTGCTGACTACGCTTGAAGAACTGCAGGAGTTAAGCCAGCACACATTCTTGTTGGCACTCCAAAGCCAAGTGAGGCAGCAGTTGAGTGAGTGTGTAGAGACACCACCATCTGACTTATCGCCTTCACCAGGTGTTTCCCAGTTGTTGAACCTCCTGCGGGATGTTCTGTCTGTTGGCTGTATAGCTGAAGGAAGACAGCAGGATCTTCCACAGGTGAAGAATAAAGGGCTGTGTGATATATTTTGCTTGTTGAAGACTAAGCCAGTGTCAGCATTGGAAAGAGATGAAGCAGACGCGAACTGCACTTCACATTTTGTTAATACTGGACAGAACTTGCAATAAAATACTTACAAACTGCTTAAGCTCAAAGTTAGAATCCAGCTGGCAACCCCATAATATGGGGTTTAAATTTCTTGTTCCCATACAATAAACATCATTGTGTGGTCTTTGCACACGTGCACGTACACAGAGTATTTCCGTGATATTAGAGGTGGACATCGTGTCATTGTGAGAGTGTTATTGGATTCCATTGAAGTCCAGCACATCCTCACCATTTTCAGTATCAAATTTTCTATGTTAAATATGTGAGTTGTATGTGTATATTGTAGTTTACATGGTACAGTGACCACGTCCTGTGACTGTAGTCGTGGTGGTGATGAGTGACAATGGTAGGGTGGTACATTATTATTTTTATTGGCAGAATAGGTCTGTATTTTAACATAGTCTGTGGTTCACACTGTATCTTATCAGGTTAAGGTGAGGCCCCTTAACCTTTCACCACTGTCTTTTCAGATTGTGTCAATTATTGTGGAACCACTCCTTCAAGCGATAAATGAGAGCGCTACTAGACTGCCTACCTCTGACATGGCCGTGTACCTCCTAAACTGCTTGTACCAAATGCAGTCCACACTCTCCTTGTATGAGTTTGTGGACGAACTGTTGGAAAGACTTCAGGTTTGTGTTTAACTTTTATTTATTAATGCTCACTTACACTTTCATGGTTATGATCAGAGAATTTCCACCATGTGGAAATGTTTGCAGGTTATGGATGTGTGTTTCTGGAGTACCATATTGTGGCCTCTGCTGACAGTTCCACAGGTATTGCAGCATTACTGTCACTATCACTACTACTGTTCCTTTGTCAGTAGAATTTCATTTGATGTCAAACTGTTACTTCCTGTATTCAGATCTATATTTTGAACTGATAAGTTTATGAGTTGGTGATTTCATACATACAAAATAAAGTAAATTACACCAAAAACCTGTGGGGGAAAAAAACCAAATTTTACTTAGTTGTCTTATATATCACGTAAGCTTGGATCTTTTCGAAATGTGGGATGACGTATCCTCTTTCATAAACGTCTTGTTTTACCAAAAAATATTTTAAAACTGAGGGAGATGTGATTATTTGTCTGAAGCCGCATGCTTCTAAAGATCGAAGAGGCATTTAAATGACCATTGGGTATCATACAAGCAGAGTGGAGTTTTTAAATAGCCAACAGTTTGAAGGGGTAAGGGCCATAATGAGAGATATGGCAGTCTGTGATAATATATGTAGATCAGTGATGTACAACTCGTATGCTGTGTGTTTCGTTCCAAAGACAAATTGTACATGGCTTGTAATTAAGTTCAGTTCAGTGCACAGTGCATTTCCATATACATGTTTTTATGTGGGTATCTGTAGATTGTTTCTACCTGAAGAACCTTTGGCTCATATAACAACATTGTGGTGGCTATTATGATGACACCAGCTGTACACTTGTAACACTTCCATTTATGGACTTCCAAGCACTTGATTTTTGTTGCACAAGGAAATGTCTCAAAACCATATATCAGAGTCTGATTTTATATAAAATAAACTGAAGATTATATTATATAGATCTGTTATGGAAAATTAAGAAAACAGAGTTTGAAGCATTTTTCTCAATATATATTTTAGTACCCATTTTTCTCTTCATGAATTTTCCTCTATGTAGATTAATATTCCTGATCGTTGTCATTTAGTGTTCAGTTGAAAACTTGCAATTAATTTTAATGGTCCATTATATCGCTAAATTACCCATGATTTGCTTCCAATTCAAGGCTCAGTCTGATGCTCAGTTGGATACACTGACTTCAGAGCAGGCAAGTTCATTGGTGGCCAATTTGAACCTTGGCTCAATCTACACAATACTGCAAGAGCAAGGCAAGGGAGCTCTGTCTTCCGTCCCAGGCATGGAGCCAACAGGCCTCAAGAACTTTCTGGTTTGTATACATTTTTATTCATACGATTTTTAACACTTAGTACTGTGATACGTTGCCAAGACAAGGCACATGCTTGTTTGAAGGTTCCCTTTCTTATTTTATACCAAGTCTCATATGAGTGGTAAAAAGGCTGGGAAAACTGTATTGAGTTCAGGGGAGCCTATTTTGGAAAGGAACATGCTTTAATGATTCAGAGCAAAGGAGGCATGTGTTTTGTATAGATCATTCTCGGTCCTTATTGAACAGCCCTCGTATCGAGGAGTAATTCCCCTGAAGTATTTCCTCTGATTGTGTTATGATGGAGGCCCCCAGTGTGGCACAGAATACAAAGATTCTAGTGTCTCCCCTCCTATTGGCAGGATGCTGCCAATAATTCCAGATCATGCTCCTTAGATATTTGTTATAATAAATGGTGATTTAATTCATACATGTGGAGGGAACATCTTTATAATTTTCTTTCTCTTACATTAATAGCTAATTTTATGTGAAAACAATGATTCTGATCATATCGATGGAAGAATTCTTAATGGTGTTGATGGTGTCATTAGAACTTGCTTACTTATAGTGTAAACTCTATAAAACTTTAAAAATTAAAGGGGGAAAAGGAAATTTTGTAGTGGAATTTTAATTGATATATGTAACGTGTTATGTTGTTGCTAAAAACTTGTAAAATAACAGAAGGCGTACGTGGGTTCCTTTTCAAAAGTGTTGCATATATTTATGGAGATATTGTGAATTCATGTAATCTTAAATATTATTAAGCACTGCGTAGTCTTGTCTTCTGTCAACATTTTTATGGATTTTTGTTTTGGTTAAGTGCTCCCCTTGTCAATTACCCAGTTTTTAAAAAAGTCAATTTTGTCTCATAATTTTTATTCTGAAATGCTGCCACTCAGTCCTATTAAAAAATGGCCAAACCACTGGATCAGCATGTACTTGGTCATCATCTGCAGATTTTGTATGATTCAGGGAACTCGTCTGGTCATTTGGTACGTAAATATTGAGATGGCAGTGCCTGTAAATATGGAAATGTGGGTACTTCCCAGCTATTAATAGCAATGTAATTTTTTTTCTTTCTACAAGAGCTGTATAGAGATTGATTGTAAATAAAGAGAGAAAGTAGTGCAAAAATGATTTAAGAATGCTGATTTAATGTTCTGGGTGGAATGTTACTATCGCTGTACCTTTAAAAACTTCAGAGCAAGTTGGACGCCTTCCTGGTGATGCAAGATGTGTTGCTGCTGCCTCAGATTTGCCTGTTGCTTAGCGGCACGCATCGTTCCATTGTACAGCATCGGGCATTTGAAGTGATTGCTGCCATATACAGACAGTTGTATGAAGCGGTACATGATCCTGAGAACTTATACCAGAATCCGGGGGTTCTAATGCCACGATCTCCAGACCAAGTTCTCAAACTTCTTATTGGGTAACACCATCTCTATATTGCAGTAAAATAAGTCGTTCTAGGCACCAAATCTGCAATATCATATTTTGTGAAACAAAGCAACATTCTAGTTTCTGGTCTGAGGCTGATAATTTGCCCTCCTTGGAAGCCTGTCAATTAAGAAAACTTCCAAAATTTGAAGTGTAGTTTCATAAGTTTAAACATCAGAAGGAAAAAGTTGGTACTAGAAGTATTTGTCAAAATTGTTATTGTTAATAAGAAATGTATTTGATACAAAAACAATAAAAAGATATATATATATACACACACACACACACACCAAATGTTCAACCACAATTACAGTTAATGAACCTAACATACCATTTTATGTATGACTAAGTGTGCGTTAATGAATAATCTGTCAGTGCAATTACCTGACTACAGCTACTAATTTCATACAGCCCAGAAACTTATTTGACATCACGGGCAGTGGAACATCTCAAACAAAATGTGACAGAAGCAGTGTATTTGCTGAAGGGCCATGTTCTAAAGAACTCTAAAAGTAGAATAAGTTCTCATTTAAAAGAAACTGCTAAACATTATTTTTAACAGGCTGCTATGACAACATGTAAGAAAACTATTATATGTCATTTGCACGATGTACGCCTACTGGACTGACAGTCTCTCCACCCGTCCGTGTTTTCTTCTGTCCGCTTGAATCAATTCACGGGACGGGTTTTGATGACATTTTGTGTATACTTTATGCCATTTGAGGCTACCCAAACTTGTACATTTTTTTAACTTCCTGCAATCGACATGGCAGACGAACGATCTAGGATCTTCGAAAATTACATAATTTCGGTACAGTAATTATTTGCAAAATGTGAGAAAAACATCATGGCGGTAGCATGAAACAAGCCCTGAAAGTGTACTGCGGTAGGGCCCCGCTTTATGGCGATCCGCTAATACGGCGCTCAACAGCTGAGTCAGAGAAGTGCGTCCGGCGCCATTTTCTCGTCGCTGATTCAGTCTGTTTACAGCTTTTGTGCGCTCTGCGTCTCTCTGTATTTCTGGCAATTTTTCAGTTATTACAAACTGTATATTTATATAATATTTTTGTGTTACTACAGTGTAATTACAATGGCGTCTAAGGGTAGTAGCGATAAAAAGAGGAGTCGTAAGCCTCTTACTTTAAATGCCAAGTTAGAGATGATTAAACTTCGTGAACAAGGCATGTCTATGGCTTCCGAACCATCACCAAAACCAATAAGATTCGTTGAAGAGTAAGATGATGAAGATGTGCCATCTCCTTCATCCTTCCTACTATAAGCATATCAATTTTCAAATTTATATTCACCAATCACTATAAGCTGAGGACAAGGTGTGTATTACTGATATTCATTTTACTTTCATGTCGTTTTCTTAGGCCTAGCGCTATTGTGCACTTACTATATGATAGTGTAACATCTTATTAGGCTTTGATATGCATTTACAAGTGAAATAAGGCAAAGATCCGCTTTTCGGCGATTTTCGCTTTACGGCGGGGGTCTGGTCCCTACCCCGCCGTATAAGCGGTGCCCTACTGTACCGGAAAACGCACAACAATATCATGAATTATTTACAAAGTGCGTTTGAAGGTATTAGAGCCTCCTTGCTTGTTAGTTCCCACTTTGGCCACAAGATCGCAGCATTGTCAACCTCAAGACTTTTCTCATTCGTCACTTTATCACCGCTCGCAGGATATTTAATAATTATTTTGAGGCCTTGCAAAATAGCACAACCTCAGCACCAAAATTCATCCAAATCCATCTCTTGGTTCTCGAATTGAATCGACTGGACAGACGGACACGATCAGCCGATAATTCGTTTTTTGCTATGTATTTTGTGGGAAACGTATAATAACGAATTTTGTAAAGTTACAAATCAAAGCGAAGTAAGATACAATACGTTTTCTGTTCCTTATAAAGTTATTTACAATTAGCAAGTGGGACAAGTAGCACGCATTGAAAAGATGCGAAATGAACACAGGCTTGCATCTAGAAAACTGAAGGGTCCACCTACTTGGAAGATCTCGGAGTAGGCGGAAAGATAATATTAAAATGCCGCTTTCAGACATTGTTAGCTAGGGTTTGCACTGGATCTTGTTGGCTCAGAAGTGAACATTGGTTCAATAATAGGATGGAGTAATTTTTCGTTTATTTGAGCGACTATTAACTTCTCAGTAAAGCCTGACAAGTGAAAAGAATGCATTTAATTTTCCTCACAAAATAAACTAAGGGGCAATATATTTAGTCCAAGGTCATTGAACTACGATTGCAGTATATCATGAATACAGTAAATATAAGTCAAGTTTAACAGGATATAACAAAACACAGTTCAGAGTTTGGATGGTCGCTGCAATTTGCAGCTACGTTTAAATTATTTTTAGTTTTATATTTACTTGATGCGCCTTGCGAAAAACTCGTGCCAGTCATGACAGACGCCCGAAGTAAGGTAGCCATTTAACCAATGAACGAACGTGTTACAGTGTGCGGTGTTGTGTCTTGGTTATGCTGTGTTATGCTATTGGCTGTAGTTTTAGTTCATGAGATTAGTTTGATGTGATGGAATGCGGAATGATACTACTTAAAAAGGAAACGCCAGTTATTAGTTAACATCACGCGTTAACGAACAAATTGATTATAACTGATATTTATAAGGCATAGTTGTCAGATGAAGTTTTATTCTTTTGCCTGAGGGTAAACATATAAATGGTGTTCAGGCAATTTGATGCACGTCAGAACCAATCTGGCAAGGAGTAAAAACTATTTGCAAGATGGCGGAGTCGAGTTATTATCAGGTGAGTTTATGGTGGTATTTTTAATAGACTTATTGGCTTTTAATGAGGTTATGAAAAAGTGATGAATATTCTTTCTTCTGCAGTGTATGTTCCACAGACTTAGATTTTAGTTGCAATAGTAACTGTGAGAAGTAAGACGTACGTGATGTTTTAACCTAGTAAGCTATTGAAACAGGTTCTGATTCTCGCTTGTTTGACCTTGCTGAATAAACCACCCACCTGTCAAATTCATCTGTGTATGCGTAATTCATAAGCACATTTTTAATTGTTTATGTGATTGATGTGTTGCCACGTTAGACAGATCTTGTTGCTACATATTCGTTATTCCTTCTAGCTGAAGTTCAAACAAAATGTTTCACCATACTTGACAATAGGGGAAAGTTATTTTTAAGGTTCCCTCATGCAATTTTTAGGTTAATTATTTGTGGAGATTTAATCGTATAAATGGTACGTTCAGTTTGATGAACTAGTTGATTAACTTGATTTTTTATTTTGTAAAGTATACCAGAGAATTGAAAAGAATAAGAATTATTGTTATGTGATAAAGGGCTGTTTTCAGAACCTGGCATCTTTATTAAAGTGACCAAAATTTTTGAGGTTTCAGATATGCTGACAGTGCAGCATATTTCCCGAATGAAAACTGGTTATTGTTTATTCTAGTTCTTCCATGTTTCTTGGCTTCGTGTTACTTGACCCATTCCTCAAAAATAATTCAAATGGTGTCAGAAATGTCGGGACTGGGCTGTGGAGAGACCTGTCAATAATACCACATCTCTCAATATATTATTCTGAGAATTTATTGTAGTGATTCCAGAAGAATAGTGTGGCCTGTCCTGCATGAAATGAAGTAGTGTGATGTTTTCCCAGTGGCTGGCCACACATACTCATAACAATTCGTATAGTATTTATTGTGTCTCTCAGAATTAAATATCCAGTTACTGTGGTGGATGTGGTACTGCATCTTTGGACAACTAATTATTTTCCTTGTAGTGTTCAGGGCTGTCTGCTGCCCAGTAATTACATTTGTGCCAATTTACAAGCTTGTCAATATGAACCACTTTGTCAGCACCCTACAGAATGTTTTCAAAGAACTGTGTCCAGTCATCATTCCATCCCACAAAAATTTCTGCTAATTTCATCCTTCTGTCTTAGTTATCAGCAAATCTTAGTGAATAATGTATTCCCCACAACTTGATTTGTTAAAGTAAGTTCAAAAATAAAATTCATACAACCATTTAAAAATAGGTAGTGACTTGTCATACAGCCTGTGTGTGGTTTTCAAAATGCAGTGGCTGTTGCACAAAGCTATAATTTGTAGAATGTTTTCGGGCACGAAGTATAATTCACTCAGAAGAGTGTCTTTATTGATTCTGAAATAACTTTGATGACTCTAAGTCTCAACTAGGCAGAAGTTATGCTGTCATATATGTGTTGAATTGGTGGAACACTTCTTAGTAGGGTGAAACGTAAATGCTTACCCCATTAAATTTGTCCACTAAGATTCGTACATGAACTTTCTCAGATTGAATACAGGCTTCTGCAGTAGGTGCTGCCATCAAATTGCCTCAGCTGTGATTGTTTCTTAATCCTTAGCTGTCTTTTGAGGCTTTCTTTTCCATGTGTGTGTGATATAAATGCTGCAGTTTAGTGGTTAGTATCAGTGATTTTTCTGATATAAGTCCATGTGGAATGGCTGAGTCTTTGATTCAAGTAATTTTGTATTTTTAAATATTTTAGTGACAGTATTACATATAAATATATGTTCAAGCATTATAGCCGCTCAGTGATAGGAGCTTGGCTCCCCGGTAGATACTCGACTCTCTCAGAAGTGTTCACAGCATGTAACTGCCGACAACTAGAGGCTGAGGCTGTCGCTATTTCTGAATATTTCACACTATTTATTTACTTGAGAATGATATAGATATTACTTGGCTGTAGCTGTAAGAACATGATTTCAGTTGAATTCTGGAATTATAGTAGACTTGCGTGCGACTATTTTCAAAGTTTGTTGTAGAAAGCCAAACTAACGTGCTGCTGTAAGTGTCCTGTCCCTGGTTCGAAATATTCAAACCCAGTGACGTAGTCACTTGCATACAGCTCTTGCATCTAATTGGCTCTTTCAGATTTCCTCACTCGCACCTTACAATGCATTGCCCAGTTACATTTGTCTGCTGAGTGACAATGAACCATAAAGCCCAAACTGACTTTCGACATATTGAAGCCACAAAAAGTTAAAATTTTGAAAAGGAACTTAAAACAAATTCAGATTAATAAATTAAATAGTATGATTAAATTACCTCAACAGAAGATGCAGTTTGGACCGTTAACAGCATTTTCTGATTTTTAACATGTAATATACATGCCAGGTTTATTATTTACAAACTAAAAAATATACACATTTTATAATTATTGATAATAGGCAGTTTTTCTTTGGAAGCAGGTATTAAGCTCTGACAGAAGAAGGTGCCTGCCATTTAGGGACCCTGAAGGTTCATTATCCACGTTAGGTGGGTCACTTGGTCACCACGGCATGGCACACCATCAGGTTGAGGATGGAGGAGAAGGCATCCAGATATGGAGGGGAGCTATGAATATGTTGAATAAGCAGTCACGAACAGCCGAAAAGGGGTGATCCTCCAGATTGGGGGTTGGGCATGGGGCTAACAACCGCTCACTATATAAACTTTATTTTGTAATGAAATCTCTCAAAGCGCTTCTGATCTGGACTTATTCTTTGGCTCGACCGAAGCAGTGTAAAACGGGCATGAGATTTGGCGCATGGAATTTTAGAGATGTCTTTACAGGGTAGGTTCAACCAAGTCGGTAGCAGGGAAGTTAGAGAAATACAAGCTAGATTTAGTGAGGGTACATGAGGTGGGAAGTGGAGGGATATCAAACAGCAGAAGATGATACATTTTTCCATGGAAAAGGAAACATTAATCACCGCTTTGGGACAGGATTTTTCGAACATAATAGGATTATTTCAGCAGTTAAAAGAACAGAGTTTGTTAGTGATATTGTACTGCATGCCCATTCCCCAACTGGTATTTGACCAGTTCCCTGGGTACCAAATGAAAATTTTGCTAGGAGATTTCAATGCTAAGGTAGGGATGGAGGACATTTTTAAACTGATTATTGGTAAGGAAAGTCTGCATAAAGTTAGCAATAATAATGGGGTCAGAGTAGTGCTTGGGAAAGTATTAGGGACAATATCAAGACCGTAGACAAGGAAAATATAGCATATTGCAAGCTAGTGCATAGTAAACTATGGTTTGATGATGAGTGCTCAGAATTAATAGACAAACGGAAACAGGTTAAATTACAATAGTTGCAAAAAACCCAGCAAAATCAGTGGTGCACATTTAGAACATTTAGGAAGGAAAGGGAATACCTAAAAAGCAAAATTAATGAACTTGAATCTAATTACAGAAACAAAAATATTAGAGATTTATAGGGAGGCGTAAATGAATTTGAGAAAAGTTACGAACCTAGAGTTCATATTATCAAAGATGAGAATGGTTATCTGCTCACAGATCCACACAGGGTTTGAAAGAGGTGGAAAAGTTTCTTTAACCAGGTGTTAAATGTTCACAGGGTTTATGACATTACACAGATAGATGTACATAAGGCTGAGCCATTAGTGCCAGAACCTAGCCATATCGAAATGGAGTCTGCTGTTGAGAAGTTTAAAATTATAAATCTCTGGGTACTGATCAAATTCCAGCAAAATTGATCAAACCGGGGGTGAAACGCTGTGTTCTAAGATACACAAACTTATTTTCTCTGTATGGCATAAAGGAGGAAATGCCACAACAGTGGAAGGAATCTATTATTGTACCAATTCATAAGAAAGATTATATGACTGATTGTAATAATTATTGAGGAATTTCCCTCTCATCATCTGCCTACAAAATTTTATCCAGTATTCTACATGGGAGGTTGACTTCATATGCCAATTAAATTATTGGGGATCTTCATTGTGGGTTCTGTCATTATAAATCTACAACTGATCAAAATTTCTAAAAGGGAGGGAGTGAGTGAGATCATGGAGAAAATTTCATAATGATGAGGTTCACGGCCTATACTCCACACCAAATATTGTTAGGGTGATTAAATTGTGGAGGATGAGGTGGGCAGGACATGTTGCACACATGGGGGAGGGGAGGGGTGTTTACAAGGTATTGGTTGGGAGACCTGAAGAGAGGAGATCACTTGAAAAAGTTATGTGTAGATGAGAAGGTGGGAGGATAAAGTTAAGATTGACCTCAGGGAGGTAGGAATTGTTGGAGCGAACTGGATGCAGCTAGCTCAGGATAAAGTCTGGTAGTGGGCTTTTGTAAACCTGGTGATGAGCCTTTGGGTTCCATAAATAAAGTTGGCTATTCTTTGGCAAGGCAAATTATGGAGCTTTCATTATGCAGTTTTCTTTAGCCTGCTGTCACATTCTCCCTTTTTGGTTCAAATATTCTCTTAAGCACTAACTGCATAGAACAGAGTTCTTCTTGAGAAGCTAATGGTATGTGCAGCCAGTCAAGGAATTTCCCACATTTTATGAAACCCAAAGGTCCATTACTATGTATACAAGAGCATACCACTGGTGCAATCCTGAGCTAGATGATTCTAATCAACACTCCAAAACCCAGGTTCCCTGAGATCCATTTTAAAGTTATCATCATATTCACACCCACATCTTCCAAGTGGTCACCTCCCATCAGGCTTTCCACCCAAAACTTTATGCACGTTTTTATCTCCCAGTGCATGCTACATGCCCTGCCCAGCCCAGCCCAGCCCATAATCCTTAATTTTATCACCCTAATAATACAGGATGTCCCAGAAACTTGTATACACATTCAGTGAATGAAATAAAGACTTATAATAAACCAAACCATTACATACATCAGCATTAGCACTTAGTGAATTAGACAAACTATGTAGTTTTCACCGGCCTCCTTTGATTTCACCTTTCTTATGTCCAATTATTCTCCTCAGGACCCTGTTCT